AAATAAATTTCACGCCAGCTAGGCTAACTAGGCAGTACAAAACGAAATTATTAAAAATGAAAAATAAATGATTGAAGTGGGGGGGGGGGGAAGTGGTCGAGCACAATGGAAGGGAAAAGGATTTTTAAACATTACAACGAACGCCCCCTTTTAAGCGACTTGTATACGACTGAATTTTTAATTTTAATTCCATTTTACAGAAATGCTATCTATACAATTATATATCATTCGGTGATATGTCGATTAAAAAATCAATAATCAAAAGACGTAGCGAAACGGATGACAAGTAAGCATTGGTAAAGGCGATTACTTTATTAAATAACGCGTGAATTATCAGGTCGAAAGTGTGCCTCGCTCATCCATGTGTAAATATTTCAAGATAAAAAGTTCCCGACGCGCGAACCAAATATGCGCTTAGAAATAGCGATAAAAGAAAAATGATACGCGCGCACGCTTTCCTATAAATCATCATTGGCTTTCGCAATCGTGAAATATCTCAACCACGTCGAGTCTTGCACAAAGAAAATCAGCTGTCAGAAACAGAGAGTCGGCAACGTTGCGGCAAAAACACATTCCGTGACAATTAAAACAGATGCGTGCAGATGCACGAAGGAGGAGAGCGTGTGCTGCAGCATATAGTTATATCGTTCCCTCGAGCTACTTCCGGAAAAACGCTTTTCCGTCCTTCCTTTTTCTTACTCAGGCGTGTAGGCAGTGCCTTTGTGCGTTTGCCTCAAGGTAAGCAACTAACACGTAAGTAAAATAAACAAATGCATTTGCTGCCATTCTCCTTGGATCGGTACTTTATTTTCGAGCTGTTTGCAGCTGTATGCTGCAATCATTCCGAAGGCTTTTATGAAAATATTGCTCGCGTTTCCATAATAGCAACACTATTTCATTATCAATTTAGATAACGGTTATTTTTAACAATTTACTCATTATAATGACATTTATTGAACGCAACTGCAAAGTCATACAGTTAATACTGATTTAGTTTAAGCTGGTGGTAAATTAGTAATTTTATTAATTTGAGTGATAGTTAATACAAATGAAGTGTCGTATAGTTGGGATTGAACAAGCGGATGATAAAGCATCGAGTAAAGAAATAGAATGACGAGAGAAAGCACGCAGCGTCGCGTGAGTTATCGTATTTAATCTGGTTATTGTCAATTAGTCCTTAAGTGTTTGACATCTTTCTTCTTCCTATTTAATTCATAATTTCCTCATTATCCGATGAATCTTGAATCCTTATTATCGATTAAACTTTCTCTCGCGTGCACCATTCGCAATGATTATTTTAGCCAAATTGAAAACGACTTTAACTACTTGTTGAAAGTTAATTAACATTTGATGTATTTTAGTGTAAGAGTCATTTATAAAATAGGCTCGTTACTATTAAACCGATAATACACGACTATCAATATCATGACTTCGCGCATAAACCAAAATTAGTATAGTAAAGAATTTGATAAAAGTAAGTTAGTAAGTTCCACGTAATTCGGTTGGTAAATTTTATCAAACATTGATTTTCTCAATACAACTTTTATTTACACATCGCTTCCGGATAAATACAATGACGTATATTGTAAAAAAAAAAAAAAAAAAAAAATTTTTTGGCAATTTCGAGATGACTCTCAGCGATAAATTGTGTTCCCGGCTATCCGCGACCCCCAAAATATTTGCTAAAAGAGCCGAGCGAAATGTTTTTTCTTATTGTCGATTTATTTTACCAAGCTTCGTCATGAGTTTTTTACGATCGAATTGCGAGCGATTTGTATTTCCGACTTTCAAATGTTCGTCATACTTATCGCTTATTTACTCGATTAGCCTTAATTGAATTCAATTAAAATAAAACTACAGATCGGATTTTGTTCACGCGAGCTGTGAATATTTCTTATTCCGATGTAAACATTCATTTTTTATTATAATTTAGTGACTACAGAAGCAATGTTTTCTTGTTTATCGAAATTGCAAAAATCGAACTTGGTTTTATAATACGGTCTTGACAAATAAATACCGTTATTGAATTTAATTTAATTTATTTTTTATATTTATAATTAAAGATTGGTGCATGTTTTTAGGCGCATTAAACGCTAAATTATTTTAAAATTTAAGAGGAATTTTCGAATATAAGTATGCGCAGGCAAATATATTTTCGACGTAAATTTTTAAATCCTTGTTAATGCCATTTATTATAAATCACATTTCAATCCAGAAATAAATCAATGTTTTGAAAACAAAGGCTTTTCACCAATCATATATACATGTATTTATAGTTCGAGAGACCCTATTAACTTGCCTGAGGAGATTTACTGAGAAGTCAGAAACCGCGAAAGTTTAAAAGAAACTTGGAATTAAGCGGAGACATTTATTTATACGGCTCCTATGAGTGAGTCTGCTTGTAGTTTATAGCAACACACGTGCTCCCTTTTTCACAGCAAAGTGGCCTTTTAACGTCTGCTGATTTCTATCGTATTCAACTTGAAATTTTTAAATAATTTTTACTTCCATTTATGTTTGCGTACATTTTTTTATTATTTAACCAAAAGTGTTAAAGAGCGAATGTAATTGAATTAGCTTTAAACGAGTAATCCTTCAATAGGACAACGTGTAAAAATTCTTTGGTTAACCACAATTTCATTAAAGATATTAATTATAAAAGTATTCACTGAGTATATTCGACTTTACGAAATATTTCACATTCGGCTATAAACCATTTTTATTAATAATATCAGACAGTCAATTATTTTACTTTCTAGTATTTATATAATATTTCTGAAATTATTGTTTACACCAAATGGTATGTAAGGATCATAGAATCAAAAATGTAAAAAAAAAATGAAACTGTAATCAGTATGGGGTATTTCTATTATTTGCAAAAAAGATGCAATTTATGTAGGCATTACAGAATGTCATACACTGGCACCGAATGAAGATTAAAAATGGTTGTGCTTTTTAAATTACACGCCACGCACGCACGCACGCACGCACGCATTTTTACACGTGATAGTCAATTTGAAACTAACATTAATAAAGATTAACTTCAAAGTTTACGTTCTAAATATTGTCAAACATAAGTATAATTTTATAAGAAACGTTATATTACAACAAAGTATTTATTAACAAACAAGTATATTTTATCGTTCGGTCCAGCATTAATAAATTAATAAATTTTTGACATACTTTTCAAATTCTATTAATTCTAATCTTTAGATCTATAAATAAAAGTTTACACATTGTTTCAACGCTTTAAATACTGTGTGTGTGTGTGTGTGTGTGTGCGTGCGTGCGTGCGTGCGTGTGTGAAATCTATATAAAATAGCTATTGTAATCATTCAAGTTGTGATATAGAATCACGCAACTTTGCTCAAATATAGGTTGAAATAATATACGTCCTTAAAAGCTGAGAACTCTTTGATACGGTGAAAATAAAAAGAATAGAAAAGCTTAGATATCTTAAAAAATACATTCTATTTTTTCAACTTTAACAAATACTAAAAATAATGTAATCAGTCAATAATCTATTAACAGAAAAAAAATTACTGTGTGTGTGTGTGTGTGTGTGTGTGTGTGTGTGTGTGTGTTTGTGTGTGTGAATACTATTTAAATAGTAAATTGTAATTAAAAAAATTTATTAAACAATAATATTGAAGTTTGGCAACAAAAAAAAATTCACTTATGAAGGTTTGTTGTATCAAAACTACCTTAAATTTTATATTAAAAAATTTATAAAATTAGTATAAGTATATATTGCATTATTATATTACATTTAATTTATATTTTCCGAATGCGAGCGTATGTACGTGGTTCGATATAATTAGAATTATTTAAACAAATCTCATATTTATCAAATTATCGGAAATGTAATATACGACCGAATTCTAGAAATTTATAATTCTTTTGAATCTTTTTGATAATAATATAAAATATATGACAAATAATAATCAGCTTTGAGCAGATCGATTAGCCCGTTAAATATAAAAAAAAAATTTTTCATTGTAGCATTTATGGTTTTAGTTTATCATTTTGTAGCATTTAAATATATAATACGAGATATAATAAGGAATAAATAAGCATGTAAATCAAGTTTTTTTTTTAATTTTTAGTGAAGATATGATTACAATATTTTGATTAGTAAGAGGAATGCTATAATTACTAGTAAAATTATCTAGCTTATTACGTGCCAATATGTTTTGAAAGCATGAATTTATATTTCGATTATCTACGTAACCGTTTAGTTGCGTTATATTACATTATTTATAAAATTCCTTTTATTGACAAAAACACTGCTTTACTGCTTGAATATAATAAAGGTTTTAATTGTTAAGAATCCTTTGATTATAATAAATATTTCATGTCGCTTCAAAACGCGTTAGTAATTATAATCTGGATACAAATTTATATACATTTATGGCTTAAAATATTCATTTAAACATTCACGAAACATGAATTTTATCGAATAATTGCGATTTATATTCAATGTTAATTTATAATGAGTTTGCCTGAAACTTTTTATACGACCACGCGCAATTCATCGAATGACATTGAATTAGACAAAATTGTCAATAAAGATAATTTATAATAAATAGTTGAAGGGCGTATGATACCGAAAGACAATTTCTATATTAATTTACATTGTGCATATGTGAACAAAATTATCGTGTGTTCATTATCTTATCTATATTCATACAAATTTTCAAATTGTTCCGTCGTATTGTATTCCACGGCATTGATCATTGCGAGACGTAGATTGGTTTAAGTGTTTTTTTTTTTTTTTTTTATTTATTTATGAATCGTAAATTTCTAGGTAATATTATGCAATCGACTAATACGGAGTATAATAAATAATGTGCAAATCGGCAGTGCCCCGTCTACCTGAAACAATTTACATGATTTGATCGGTCGTGGCTTATCAGTGCTACCATCGTTTAAAGTTTTTCGCGCAAGTGGCGGCCCAAATTAGATCAACGATTAATTTGTGCCTTCCTGTTCTGTTTCAGCTTACCATCCGAAGAACTGTGTGCTGTGATTTATCGTTGTGGGGCCCAAAACACGCGCAACAACGGACAACCCCACAGGACCGGGGGGTGCTTCTCGTGTCTCGGGAGGAAGGTCAGGGCCTGCACTGTTACCTAGGCTCTAAACAAGTCACAATACGCGAGCTGCTTCCTCTCGAACAATCGATAAATCCAAAAAGAGCATATCGCGCGCCCTTGTACACAAAGCAAACATTTCATCCTTCCTATCACCGCCGACCAACAAACCTCGATACTCCTATTTTAAAAACCACCACTTCCACCCCACTGAACGAACGTTAAAAACACCTTTCCTGCGTGACGCGCTGTAAATCCACACGAAACTAAAAGATTCGATGCCTTCCAGGGACGATAATCGCTCCCTATCCACTGAGCAACGCTGGGTCCCTCCTTCAACTATTAGACGCGATGCGCTCACCCCAGAAAACAGAAGTGATGTCCTCCACAGAAAGGTGCGGGGTATTCTTAACAAGCTCACCCCGGAAAAGTTCGCAAAGCTGAGCAACGAATTGCTCAATCTTGATCTCACTTCTCATGATATTCTTAGAGGCCTCATATATTTGGTAAGTCGACTCTTGCCTAAATTATTCTCATTATATTTTTAAAAAAGCTTTTTATGTACCATTACGTTAAGTTAAGAATGTAAATGCGCAACGTTTGCTCTCGCGTTCGACTGATTTACGCGCGCAATGATATTGGGACAGAACGATTTTGAGTTTTGTGGTGCGCGGGGCGAATTTGACTTCATTGCTAAACGGTAAACACCTGTAGTTTACCTGCAGTAGACGCGACATATTCCGTCATTCACCAGTGTAAGCATCGAGTGTGCTGAAAAAGCTGTATAATATTATGGGCAAATTGTTAAACGTAACGGTTCGATATGCTCCGTGTAGAATTCAACGGTGCGCTCTCTCGCTCACTACTACGACAGCTCGTTGTAAGTTATTGGAAGGCTCTGGATATTGGTAGCGCTGTGCTATTAATAAACATTTTACTTAGTTAAGCGCGCTCATCGCGCTGGCAATCTAACGAACGTATAATTAAGTCCGGGACAAATTATAAATGGATGAGAAAGAACGAGCGTAACGTCTCGTGTTGATTGTTCTCGATGAACGACATCTCATGACGCAATTTATTAACCGAGTGCTTGCTTACATCAACTGGAAGAATAATCGTTCGTGGGTGATTATTATTAAGTTGTAGAGAAGCATGTTTATGAAAATGAATGGGAAGTAAAATATCGGTCAAATGTCGGCATGTGACGATTGAGCAATAAATGCGTAGTTGGAGAAGAGTTCACATTCTCGAAGGGCGTCGAAATTCATCGCCTTAGATTTATATTCTTCATAATAATTATTTATAAACATGTCTCTTCTGTAAAGTATATTAACGCTGCAATTGGATGACAGGTAACATGTGGAACATTATCATTATTTTGCGATGAGTCTAAGGGGTGACAAACAACAAGAATATTGGTTGGGACGATGTAAATGTACGCTTGGGTTGCGGTGGCACCCGAAATAACTAACCAGAGCACGCACTAACCCGATAACATAATTAAAATTTTTAACGGGGATGGGTCACAGACGTATCTTTAACGTTGACGATTTTTCCTCTTGAGTGCCGAGGCAAGGCGTGAGGCCTAGAAAGAGAGCTACAGAGAGATGATAGAGAACGCGCGAGAGCGGCGGTACGAGGCATCGATTAATGGAATACTTTTTTGTTTTTTGCCTTCTCCTCTCCAACAGATCTTCGACAAAGCTCTCGATGAACCGAAATACAGTTCTATGTACGCACAGCTGTGCAAGCGGCTGTCCGAAGAGGCTTCGAACTTGGAGAACTTGCAGAAGCATGGCGGCAACATCGGTCATGGCTTCCACAGCCACATCGGAATCAACCATCTCGAACTTGGCGAGAGCGACTCAGAGAGCAAATTCACGCGTATGCTGCTCAACACGTGCCGGCACGAGTTCGACAACCGCTCAAAGGCGAATGAGGCATACGAGAGCCTGGGGGATCTCAGTCCGGAGGACGAGGAGCGCCGGCAGGCGTCCAAGCGCAAGATGCTCGGCAACATCAAATTTATCGGGGAGCTCGGCAAGCTTAAGATCGTCGCTAACCCGACCCTTCACAAGTGCATCCAACAGCTTTTGTATCATACGAGGCGCAGCGGATCCCGGGGGGACCCCACCGAGGAGATCGAGTGCCTCTGCCAGATCATGCGCACCTGCGGCCGCGTCCTCGACACGGACAAGAGTGCTCTGCTCATGGAACAGTACTTCAGCCGTATGAGCCGGATGGCTAAGCGGGAGGACCTGCCACAGCGCATCCGCTTTATGCTGCGAGACGTGATCGAGCTGAGGCTCAACGGCTGGATGCCACGCAAGGCGACGAGCACCGAGGGTCCCATGCCCATTAACCAAATTCGCAACGACGGGGACGATCACTCACGGTCCGGCGGGGGCATGGGTCCTGGTGGTCCAGGCGGCTATTACGGCCGCAATCGAGACGACGGGGGCCGCTCCATGGGTAACGACTTCTTTCGGCGCATGGGCCGGGTGAGCCTCGACGTTGATAGTCTGGGCATCATACCGCTTAGCACGCCGGGCTTCGTCAGCTCGGCCTTCAGCCCCAATGGCTTTCGTTCGGGCTCTCCGCCCGGTGTCGCTGGCTACGGTCGACACGGACAACGGGGCCAATCGGTGGCCTTTTACCCCACCCAGATCAAGCATCCGAACAATTACCAGGGCAAGCACGGCCAACAGCAGCACGGCTCGCCCCAGAATTACAACAGTGAGTAGTGGTAGTAGTTGCGCGCGACGCATACGAGGCTACGGTTCAATCCCCCCCTCCCCATCCCAACGCATTTTAATATTATTACCGTTATTGCAGATGGAAATAAGGAGCCGGTGCGCTTCAACAAGAACAAAATGCTTATCGGTCCACCGGAGGAGGTTTCCCTTAGACCTTCGGCCAATTCTATGATCTTCAAGCAGCCCAATATCAGCCCCAGTCTGCCGCTCAACAACAGTAGGTCTTTGAGACGCCCTCCTAGCACCCAGCCACCAGCCCCCTCTCACGCTCCCCTCTCACCCACAGGGAACCTGCCTATTGGGGGGATAGAGCTTTTTCCGGGTCGTATCCCCGAGTCGCCGCTTATCCGCGCGGCTGCGCTGCGGAAGCCGAGTCCGCCGCTTCTCTCCAAGGAAGCGCCCTCGAGCATCGTGATAAAGCAGGGTCCGCTAGATAAGCGCGAGAAGGCCCGCGAGCGGAAGGACAAGGGCCCGACCAAGGAAGAGGTGATGAAGAAGGTCAATGCCATGATGGACGAGTACGTCGCACAGGGGAATCTGACTGAGGCAGTTGCGGCTTTCAAGGAGCTCAAGATACCCGAGCGTTTCCTACGCTACGCCGTCTGCACCGTCTATTCTAGCAGTCTCGAGCGCAGCGACGCCGAGCGCAACCTCGCGGCCGACCTCGCCAGTCAGCTGCGCAAGGAGACTCTTTTCAGCGCCCAGCAGTACCACGACGGCTGGAAAGAAGTCGTGAACTCGATGGCTGAGAAGGAAAGCGCGATACCCTGTGTCGCCTCCCACATTGCGCACCTGACCGCGCGCGCCATTACCGACGGCATGATGCAGCTCGCCGACCTGGCTAACGTCACCGAGAACGGCCAGCATTATCCGCTATTCCTTCTCACACTACAGCAGCTGCACAAGAGCCAGGGCAAGGCCGCGCTCACCCAGATTTTCAACGAGAGCAAGCTCAATCTCATCAGCCAGTTGCCGGAGGCCGACAAGACCAAGGAACGCCTCGGTGAGATCCTCGAGGACAGGGATCTCACCTTCCTCTACCCGCTTTTGAGAATTCAAGGCGACATGTGGCGTCAGCTCGAGAGCGATCCAGCGCCAAATAGCCTCTACAAGTGGATCAAGGAGAAGCTCGATCTCTCGCACCATTCCGATCCCGGTTTTATCAATGCTCTTATTACAGTTCTACTTAAATACATTACTCAGGTGCGTCAAATTCATTGGCTTCTATCCTTATTTTCCCGGCTTATTTACTGCACAATTTTCTCGTACCCTCCCATTTACATTCTTGATATATCTTTCATATTTCTACTCAAATCCATTTTCTAATTCGATTAAATTTCCTATTTCTAATGATGAACATTTATAGGATGCAAATTTACAAAGATGTATATTTTCATATAGAATTTAAGACAAATTGAATAGAGATTTATCGATAAACATTGAACATTGAATAATATCTTAACAAAAAATTCGATTTAATCTCTTGTTAAAACTTCAAATATATCTTACATATTCATATTATTACATTATTGATCTACCTGTTGCCCTATAAATTCACTAACACTAAAGTAAATACATTATTTATCAATCTTTTTTATATGTATTTGCATCCAAGATTCGTGTATTTGCATCCAAGGTAGTAAATAATAATTTAGAAATTTTACAGTCTACAATATTCGTGTAACTTAACATTCATATTTCAGATAAGATGCAGTTGATCAATGTTAACCAAATTGAATGCACACGTAGCTTAGAAATACATTTAAAAACAAAGTTATTTGCTTAAAAAAAAATTTTTTTTTTTTTAAATATTTCAGATAATTTATTATAATAAGTCACAAAATTTTAGCATTAATGTACGATACTCTGAGTATATTAAATTTATAAAAGGTATTTAATGATCGTGCCTTAAATGATTGAAATTATTTAAGATTGAGATATATTATAATATATACATATGTATAAAGTTGGATTATTGCACTGTTTTATTGCCCGAATCTAAGTAAATTATTAATAAGTAATTCTATTGTAGTAATGAAAGTATTTTAATGTAACATCCAAAGAAATAAATATTAGTATAATTTTTCAATATCAGAATAAAAATTAGTCAATTTCGTATTATATGACAGTATTAATAAATGTAAAATTGGAACAGGAAACAACATTCCCATCTGGAACTAATCCATCCATCATCCCTGAGAAAGCATTGCAAGAAAAAGAATTAGCCTTGTTGGGTAAATACCAACGAATGCTACAGACACTTCTGCCAACCATCGAATCCCAGGTCACTGCCGTGCATTCACTTCAAGTCTTTTGCTTGTCGCACAACTTTCCTAAGGGAATGCTATTACGTTGGTTTATAGCACTTTACAATCTTTCAATTATCGATGAAGAGGCCTTCATGCGTTGGAAAGAAGACGTCAACGACGCCTATCCAGGGAAGGGTGATGCCTTGTTCCAGGTAATTAATTAGACATCTTGCTGTTTCAAACTAGTTTTCAAAATCTTTATCATAATTAACAGGTTCTTAGTGAAAAGTTATAAATTTCAAAGACAAAAGATGCAAACACTTTGTAAAGAATGAAATATAAAAAGTGCCTCCAAAAAATATATCTTCATGATAAATAATATCAGGGAAACATATTTTAATAAAGCAAATTGTTATAATTACAAATGGTTCATAAAAAAAAAAATTCACATTTGTACTTTCATTCAAAGATATATCATTTAAATTTGTAATTTACCTTAATTTTGTGTAATGATTTATCTCTTCTAAATTTGTTAAATTTAGTATACAATATTCAAAGTATTAATTTATACATTTTTTGTGTAATTTAGTTTTATAATGTCGATATAATTTTTAAAAGCCTATAAACTAACGTATGGTATTTACTTTCTAAGGTGAATGCCTGGTTAACATGGCTAGCTGAGCAACCTTCCGAAGATGAGGATGATGAAGACGACGAAAAAGGCGACAACTAAGAAGAGGAAGGAGCCCCAGATGGGAAGCTGAACATAAAAATATATATGATTTGCGATAGATTTTTACTATCTCATAATCTAACTGAGCCGAAGGTTTTGGTTTCATCTATTATGTTGCCTCTATCAAAATAACAAGCCTCCTGTGAGCTTGTCAGTGCCCTCCAGTAATAAAAAATTTAGAAATACCGTAATGGCGATAATTGACGGACGCAAGGCAAAGCTTTAAAACAGTGAAAAAGACAGGGAAAAAAAAATAGTAAACAATAAATGCTGAAATCTGGATCTATGGGCGGTGCACGGCAATATCTGTGAGCAGGAAGTTTTAATGTCCTAGATAATTAGAATATTGAATATTATGATTTATAATGAGAAGAAAAGAAAACAAAATGATAATAATGGGCCAGCAAATGACTATCCGCGCAGAAAAAAAACAACATCGTTTAAGATAGAAAAATAAAATGAAAATATGAAAAAACATCATAAACAAGGGGTTTAAATGAAAATAGGGTGAAACAGTAAAAAAATTAATCTGATTTGTATTGTCCGAGTTTTTGTCTAGTATTGTGTACGTACGTGCCACGTTTTATAAGTCTTTTTGTTTGCGATCAGAAGAGAGCAGCCTGTTATCTCTGTGTACCAACTTTTACACTTAATATGAATTATTACTGCGTATTAACGTTATTAACCAAATGAATTATTTGAGATATTCACTCGTACGAATGTCCAAACGATTATCGACTTTTTGACAAATAAACTTTGATCTTAATCTCAAAGAGTGTAACCTTAAAAAAGATGATAGAAGTCGGCTGGCTGGTGACTAAAGACGCTTCAAAGTACTGAAAAACAATTATGATGCTTTGAATGTTTTGCCTTTGAAGTGGTAAATGTGGAAAATACATTACTAATACTTGCTGCATCATTGCACCAAAACGTAAAAGGAGAAAACCGTAAATACACAAGAATGCGATTAACTAATTACTAATGTAATAACCAGCAGCCAACGTCACATCCAAATAAAAAAGAAAACTACATAACGAAAACTAGTGACATTTACTAAATCTATATGAAAAAAAAAATCGAATAAATAAGCCTTGGTGTAATTTATTAAAGAAGCTCCTCCGGTTGTTTTCTCGACGACCAACAATTTTTCAAACCTTTTACCTTCGTTTCCTTTCTTATTACTTACATTTCCCTCTGAGTTTAGAAAATCCATTAAATAACATATATAGTAGAATTATAATGAAAAATTATCAAGTAAAAATGTTGTTCGAGCGAATTAAGCAAAAAAAGAAGAAAAAATGAAAAAAAAAAAATTTAAAAACAGAATTCAGGCGTTTACTTCAGTAACCTTCAGTCCCGTCGATCTTTAATTAAATTGAAGTTCGCCTGGATATTGGTGCAATAATTGTATTTTGATTTCGTTTTACTTTTACGTCCAAAGGCGCATTTTATTATTATTATTTTTTTTTTAATTTATTTATTTTCCTTTTAATAAGCTTTTAATAATTAATAATATCTTTGCATATGGCCAAAAATTGCTCACATTGTATAAAGAAGTAAGTTATTTGAAAAAAAAAAAAATTAAATTAAAGGAGTTATTTTTTAATAATTGCGTATGTACATAGAACTTTTGTTATCAGTGGACTGAAGCGTTAAGAAACAAAAGGTTGAAGTTGAACGTTTGTTAAGATGTCCATCCTCTGTAAAAAAAAAAAAAATATAAAAAAAAAATAAATATATGAACAAAAACAAATAATGAAGTAATCTGAATGGAAAAAATCAAGGGAAGCTAGAGATAAATAAAAATAAATGAACAATTTCATGTATCTGAAGTACGTTATGTTAGATTTATTGCTTGGCAATAATTAACATGGGACATTCGACCGATTAACTTAGGGGTCTTTTTTACACGAATATTGAGAAAATTCAAAAAAATAAAAGGAAATAATCTTCCGTTGACGTCTTCTGTATAGAACAAGCTTGCTTTCTTGTGACTTTTCCCCTTAATTTAAAAGTCGGTTGAGTGTCCTATAATTTCGTGTTACAACATACAAAAGAAAAAAAGTCTTTATACATTTTTCATATGCATAATAAAAATTTATTTGTAATGTCATTTTGCGCGATTGGAAGAAGGTTCAATTGACAGCGTAATGATGACAACTTTAAGTCAGAAGTTTTTTCTATTAATGGAGAAAATCTTGGACTGAAAGACACTTAGCAATTAAAATTTCATTGCCAGTTTACACATTTTAATAACAATATTTGTAAAAGGGACACTGAGAATGCTTTATCTAAAATGAATTATACCTCACTTGCATTACGTCTGAATTAACCATTGAATGTTAAAAAAAAATTTTTTCTTTTCTCCTAGTTTCGGTTTATCATTTTACAGTACAAGTTTTATAAAGGACGAAATCTTAATTCGATAACGAAAAGATCGTCGCGCTTCAATTAAATTCATATTGCTCCCTTCGAATAATCCTCACTCTGTAGCGACATAATATTTATTTCAGCGTAAAAGTATCTGTTTGCACGTGGCATACAGTTTTTCTGTAGCGACATTATAGTGTAATATTTAATGGCTATATGTGGTATATTCATGCGTTTTCTGTCTACTCGCTTCGTATGTCATTAAAATTCGTAAATGTAATACACGCAAGAATACACCAAAAGAAAGAAACGTAAAAAAAAAAATATAAGCCTATCTTTTGTTTATTCTATTCTATTGTTTTACATTTACAAAACAAAAGAATTAATAATATCATAGTTTTTTTCATTTCAAAAAATTTATTATATTTTTGTTTTCCTTTCAATGCAACGTAATTCAATGAAGTTGTCAAAATAATATCTAGAGTGAATAATTTTTCTATTTGACAAATTGAGTTTACATTAAATTGAAAGTGAAAATCATTAAATTTATAATTGTAACAAAAATAAAAATTCGATTTTTTATTTTGATGTATTAAAATGCGTCTGCTTACTTCGACAGTTTTATTACAAAAAATGGACACAAATTTTTTTCGCTCGCGCTAACACTTTTCGAGTGAAAATAAAAGAAAATAGTATCAAAAATAGTTCGACAGTATTACTTGTTCTTTCAATACGACCATTGCACTATTCATCATATATTGTGTTGTAAGTATATGAAAGTGACATGAGATTATAAAGTCTAAACAACTTAAACAAAAACAAAAAACTACGAGTACGAGTTTTAATCGATTACGTATTTATATGATCTGGACAGTAAGATGAATCATACAACAAGAATCTTTCAATTCGATTAATAAAACTTTTCATAGGATGAACTGATTTTTTTATTGCTTAATAAGAATAATTACATATTATTCCAAGATTTGATTTTCTTCTTTGTCTTATTATTATTTTTTTTTTTATTTATTTATTTTTATTATTATTAATGTTTTTTAACAATGGTACAAGAATTCGTGAGCAATGATAAACAACCAAAAAAAAAAAAAAAAAAAAAACTATCCTTTTTACCAATTCTTTTTTAACAAAAGCGATTGAATATTCAAATCATTATCTGGCTCGATTTTATGTTTAAAAATTTATGTATAAATCAGTTTAATTTTTATACAAGATGATTTTAATTAAAGTGAATTATATTTATTTTAAGAGTAAATAATTATTTTTGATTTAATTTAAGTTTTAATTAATAATTGGTCAAACATGAGTGAAAATAGTAAAAAAATTGAACTGAATAATAATTTAATAGTAGCCTGAATTGTGTAAGTGCGACATTCTAATGAAATGTTCATCTTAAACATTCTTATTGAAATTACATTTTTTGCAAATGAATAAATTCAGTCTAATCGACAAACAATTTGTTATGATAATTGTTTTCCTTCGAATAAAGTAAACCCACATGGTGAATTTTCAAATTGTCTCTTATTTACTAAGAAGCAAGAGATTTATTTTATTTATATTTTTGGCTTTTAATTTTTGTAATTTATTTTATAAAAATAAAGAAAATGACGATTAAAATTGTCAATGAAAATTAGCTTTGAATATAATTTTTTGAGTGCTATTTGCTAAATTTCATGATACGGTATTAGAGAGATTAATTATCAATAAAACTTACCTCAATGTTTTTATAACGATAATTGAATAACTCAAGATACATACATTTTTTCATGAATAGTTTAGAAATGTGAAACAATTAATATTATTTCAATACAAATTTATTATTTAATTTTCGTCTATCATTGATTAAAAATTTATTATAAACCTTTTAAATATTTTAATAATGTGTTGGGTGAGTATTTAAAGTTATATAAGATCAGAAGAAAAAATAATTGAGAATTCATACATTTTTTATCTGTAATTAATAAAAGCACATTTTTATAAGTTGATTATACTAATAATATTAAATATTATGTTATTAATTCATAGGTATCGTTAAGTTTAAAAATATTAATAATATTTAAATTAAATGAAATATAAAACAATTATTTCGTTATTCTGTTATATTTAATCATGGTGCATTGATAATTGCATTGAATATTTAAATAATATTTTGATTTGAATTCAATTTTTTGTCGATTTAAATCATAACAAATTTTTAAAAAAATTCATCCTAATAGCAGTGACTATATCTATCTATCTATCATATATATATATATATATATTGCAATAAATTAAAATATTCGTTAGTAACATAATATGAGAAAATAACATGTAGAATCTTTTAAATTTTTGATTTATTAATATTTTTGTTATTCTTTTTTTTTTTATATATATTTTAGCATATTATAAGACACTATTATTCCTTTAATTTTAATATTTATATCCAAATTTATTTTAATTTATTTTCGGTATTTAATACGTACTGAATAGTATATTACTCAACCAACGGCTTTGAAAATTATCTATTCGTAACAGGCATATGTCTAAACAATGTTAATATTGATTTCTGAACATGCAATAATACAACAGTGTATAATATTATTAATTTTTTTTTTTTTAGTACTAATCATTATTAATTTATGTATGTTAATTTTGTAAAATCTTATTTTCTTCATTAGCATATTAGTTCCGCTCTTATTTTATCTGGTTTTTAATTTATTTCAACAATCCCGTTTATGCATTATATCGTTTAAATTTTCTTTTTCACTTATCATGTTCACACCTTATTACATATTAATACATTTCAACATAATTATACTTTATCGTAAGATACAAAGTTATCAATTAATTTTTAATAATATTAATGACAGAATTGTTTGAAACTGATTATACCGCGCAAACTTGTTTTGTTCATTACTTTTTCAGTACATTTTTTGTTGTTGTATTTTTTATAATAATTTTTTTATAAATAAGAATAAGAATAATGAATTATAAAAATTTTACGAAGCGTTGAGAGCTTATGAATAATAATTTATTAGCATTGTTCGGGAGTGAGTTAAGTAAACAATATATCGATTATAGAATCATGACAATTTTTTAATTGCTTTTTTTTAATTATGATATTTGGTTAAATAATTTTACAAAAATCTTCGATTCCAAGACTTATTATTATTATTATTATTATTATTATTATTATTATTTGTAATTGTTAATTTACTGAAATAACTGGATATAATGCTTAAATTGTCGTATAAAATGCTTTAATAAGATAAGAGCAGCTCTCGATAACATCGATAATTAAACTATTGACTACTTAGAAATATAAGAATAAGGACACTGCTACATCGAGTATTCAGAACATTGACTTTTTACGCAATAATGTCCAGAATGTCGTTAGATGTAAAATAACGAACAAAATTAATTTATTTTTCAATGTTTGAATTATTTAATTATAATATTAATAGTTTGATTCTGGGTAATATAGAAAATATTTTCACTAGCATTTTTCTGTGCAATAATAGCATTAGAGTAATAACGAGAGAAAGAGAAAATATGAGCGACATGCATACTCACACACACACACACACACACACACACACAGACACACACACTCATGTATGTTTGGCTAAAGTAACGTTTAAAAATTTTAAGTATTAGTTATTAAATAAATTGTAAT